AAGAAACCATCAGTAAAATTGATTCGGTATGGTTGATTTTAACTATTTGACTTTAATCAGCACCTTATTAAAAGAATTTATAAGATTGGATAGAGTATTTCAAACATCATAAACAGAGTTACATAGAATATCACAAGTAATAAGATTCCGAAGAAAAAGCCAGACATACAAATTGATTCAAGATCTTATTTCATTGAATGTTCGACGTAGTTCCTGTAGTTATTTGCATAGAGTCGGATGGGTTCAAGTCACTAGTTCTTTCCAGAAACAATCTATTATTTCAGTTCTACGAAAACAGAACATGTGAAATTAATATAGATTATTGAGTTTCTATTAGTAACAACTCCTATTTTAGTCTATCCACAGGAAAAATCACGAAATCCTGAAATCTTGAATTTCCCTGAATCCCAAAGGATTCCCTATGGTTCTTTAGAATTCAAAGAATTCCTCAAGATTCTCTAGGATTCCCGTGAATTCTCGGGATTCTATGGAATTCACTTCAAAAGATGTGAACATTAGGTGGGTACGGCTTTTCTATCATCCACACTCACAACTGCCCACCCCCACCCACACCTAACGTGTATTTTCTGTTCACATACAGCAACATCAACTGTCACACCATCCACGGCAATGGCACTCAAGTGATTGTGAAGATAATAACTAAAGAAAACTTGAAAAGACTAATAATCCCATGAACGATGTTGTAGAGCTTTTTCTACTTTGTTTATTGTTCACAGTTATATTCTCAATTTAAGCTAGGTAGAGTTTACTGAGTGCCAACGAATAAAAACAGTTACATTTGAAATCGTAAGTCTAGAAAAAAGCAGAATACAGCAGCTGTATAAATGAACAACGTGATTTCTGTTCAAACAATCGTAGATTACTTACAATTCTAGATTATCAATCAAGCGGCATATCATATACAATATGAGTGGACACATGTTCAAAACAACAGTTTCTACGTTACAAATCGATGCCATTACAACTTCAACAACATCTTCAAATACCATTGAAGCAAAACAACACCGAGTTCAAGATTATTCGTTGATCTGGATAGACGGCAACATTGATGTGGCCAATAAGAATTGTCAAAATGCGCTTGCGCAATTACGCAGTGTCATTAATGACGTCTATACTTTCACCCAATCGGATGAATGCGTTGACTTTCTCACTGAAGTCGATGACAGAAAGGTGTTCCTCGTTGTAGCAAGTACTATGAGCCAACCAATGATACCTCTGATACATGACATTGCGCATCTTGACTGCATTTACATCTTTTCTGAGAATGAAACACAATACAAAGAATGGACAACAAACTTGCCAAAAATTCAAGGTATCTTTACAGAAATTACAGAAGTCTGTAATTCATTACAAAAAGTCGCTCGTCAATGCGATCACGACGCAATGCCGATGAGTTTTGTTACAAAAGAGATGGTGGAAGCAACAGGAGCATCTGCCGAACGCAATCTCGACCAATTGGAGCCGTCTTTTATGTATTCGACATTATTCAAAGAAATTTTATTGGAAATCCAGGAAGACGACGCTAAGTCGATGAGTGACCTTGTCGCCTATTGCAGTAACAAAGATGTTTCTGAATCTCAATTAAAGGAATTTCAGGATAGATACCATGATAAATCGCCAGTCTGGTGGTATACTCGGCAAATTTTTCTCTACGGCATGCTCAATTGCGCCCTACGGTCACTTGACATGGAGGCCATGACAAAAATGGGTTTCTTCATCCGCTCCCTCCATCGACAATTAGAAAAACTTCATCGAGAACAATCGGGTGTCTATATGAGAAAATTCATCGTTTATCGAGGTCAGGGGCTTGCCCAACAGGATTTTAAACATTTAGTCGACTCGAAAGATGGACTTCTCTCGTTCAATAATTTCTTGTCGACCAGTACAAAAGAGCAGGTTGCTAGGGGATTTGTTCAACGTACCATGCACAAAAATAAAGATATCGTGGGTGTCCTTTTCATCATGACAATTGATTCAAGTAAAATTTCAGCTTCAACTACACCATTTGCCCTCATCGACGAATACAGTGCTATTAAAAGCGAAAAAGAAATTCTATTCTCAATGCACACTGTTTTTCGTGTCGATGATATCAAACAGGCAGTCAGCAACAGTCGTCTATGGGAAGTACAATTAAGTCTCACAGGCGACAATGATCCACAACTGGCTACTCTTACTCAACGCATAAAAGGGGAGCTTTCTGGATCCACAGGATGGCATCGATTAGGCAGTCTAATGCTAAAAGTGGGTCACTTAAATCAAGCGGAAGAGCTCTACAACGAATTACTGAAGAACTCGTCCAGTGATAGTGATAGAGCACATATATATCATATGCTTGGATTCTTGAAAAACGATCAAGGACAATATAAAGAAGCAGTTTCATTTTATGAAAAAACACTTGAAATCAAGCGAAAAACTCTTCCGGAAGATCATTCTTCATTGGCTCCTACCTACGCTGGCATCGGTGTTGCGTATAACAACATGGGTAACTACTCGAAAGCACTTGAATTTTACGACAAATCACTTAAAATAAGAGAAAAATCTCTGCCTTCGAATCATCCCGATTTGGCTACTTCCTACAACAACATCGGTGAAGTGTATAGAAACATGAGTAACTACTCGAAAGCACTTGAATTTTACGACAAAGCACATAAAATCTATGAAAAATCTCTGCCTCCGAATCATCCCGATTTGGCTACTTCCTACAACAACATCGGTGCAGTGTATGACAACATGGGTAACTACTCGAAAGCACTTGAATTTTACGACAAATCACTTAAAATAAGAGAAAAATCTCTGCCTCCGAATCATCCCGATTTGGCTCAATCCTACAACAACATCGGTGGAGTGTATAGAAACATGGGTAACTACTCGAAAGCACTTGAAGTTTACGACAAAGCCCTTAAAATCTGGGAAAAATCTCTGCCTCCGAATCATCCCTCATTGGCTACTTCCTACAGCAACATCGGTGGAGTGTATGACAACATGGGTAACTACTCGAAAGCACTTGAATTTTACGACAAAGCACTTAAAATAAGAGAAAAAGCTCTGCCTCCGAATCATCCCGATTTCGCTCAATCCTACAACAACATCGGTACGACGTATTATGGGAAAGGTGACTACCCAAAAGCACTTGAATTTTACGAAAAAGATTTAGAAATAACGAAAAAATCTCTGCCTCCGAATCATCCCAATTTGGCTACTTCCTACAACAACATCGGAGGAGCGTATTACGGTACAGGTGACTATCCAAAAGCACTTTCATATCTAGAAAAGGCGCTTGCTATTTGGCAAGAATCACTCCCGCCAACACATCCTAATATTAAAACGGCGATGAATAATATTGACAGTGTGAAAAAGGAAATGTAACTGTGTTGTTTTTTCTTCTCGCTTGCTCAATAAATTGATTTTGATTGCTATTCACCTCACTTCCTGGATTTTCTCGGCTCATTTTCGCGTACACGCGCGCGACCAGGGAGACCTCCTGTAAGCCCGCAATGGGTACACGCAGAGCGGACCACGCCGGACTGGTAAGACATGATCATAGGTGTGACGTACGTAAACGGCGACAGGGATCTACGAACAGACGGTCTTCCCGAGTACTCCAC